CCTCGCTCAGTGGGGAAGACGAAAGATAGGATCTGGGGAGCGTCCTCACATTTGCTACGTTTTAATCTGTTTGCTTAACACTCGGCACACTTTGCGCGGTATTCAAATGAGCAAACAGAAAAAAGAGAAACTTCGAATGAGATGAAGGCTTGTCAAAATTGGACGGTAAACACATATTTGATTATAACGACTACAACTCGTTGTAGTCCGGTGTTATTTAATTCATAAATAAAAAATTTTGACACAAATTAGATATCTTCCTCTATCTTATTTTAGAACGTTTGTAATAAACAAATAAGAATCTTAACGTTAACAAGTTAACAGCTTCGAGATTTATTTACTTTTATTAAACTGTCAACTTTTATAACTGTAAATGCGTTAAGAAAAGAGGAAACGTAAAACATTTTCGAGATGGTTAATTTTTTGAAATTGACATAGCAATAATCATAAAATTTTATTTCGATATTAATCGGGAATTCCAATAAAGCGCATCTAAAGTTAGTACATAAACCGCGTATAGTTAACCATTTCGTGCATTTAACCTTTGAAAGTTAATATTAAGAATATCCACAACCTACGCATAGTTTTTATATCCGCTATAAATAGATTTTGAGAAATGAAATGAACTTATAACGAGCAATTAATTAGAAATTAATACGCTATCATGAGAGTGTGCGGCACAGGTGAGGTCCACCATGAAATAATTCTACATGCATATGAGAGAGAAAGTGTGCCCGTTAACTAAAACCGACCCGGCGCAATTAAACGTGTCCGATCTTATCAACAGTTTAAGTGGTTTAAGACGGCTTCCGTAACAGTGGACATGTGAGCGTCGTCCTCAATACTTTTCTCTTCTTGTTTTCTTTTCGTAAGCTATTCCAAGAAGTTTAGATCGATGTATTGATTAAGCAATTAAAGGTCGTTACAAAGGAAATAGCGGTATTACCTATAAACAGATTTCTTATTTCAAATTAAAGAATTAAGTAATTATTTGCAACTTTATTAGTTAATGAATTAACAAATTTTTAAAACGATTAACAAATAATGTAGGTAGCGCCTCAGCCGCAAACAACCTCGGTTAAATGTATAAAGGAGAATGTATGATTGTGCTCAGTGATGGGCGCTGAGTAAATACTCGACGGGTAGGTATTTCTAAAATGGGTATTTATCCGGGTATTTACCCCAGCCCAGGGTGCGTATAAAAGTGATACCAGTGAAAATATATTAGATTCCAAAAGAAATGAAGAGGAAGATGATGAACTGGACGTATCATCAAGCGAATCTGTCGTAATTTAGCTTAGATCAAGTTATTATGATTATTATCATCAAGCAGCCCTCTGCGTCCATTGTTGGACATAGACCTTCCCTATTCTGTTCCAGTCGATTCTATTCTGTGCTATCTAAATCCAATTGTTTGGCATTCTTTTGACGTCTACTTCGTCTGTTCGCCCGCGGTCTCCACTCAAGAAACCGTTTTGTCCACTGCTCATTCTTCCTTTACGCGAATAACCCGCCCAGTTCCACTTAAGCTTTGCTACAATGTTGACCACATCATTTACGGTCTTCACTTAGGTCTTCATTTCGTATGTAGTCCCTCAGAGTTACATGCAGGATCGATCTCTCCATCTATCTTTGCGTTACTTGGACCCTCATAGCAGTGGCTACCGTAAATGTTAAAGTTTTGGAGCCGTTGTCATAACCGGAAACACGTATTGACTGAAAGCCTTTTCTCTTGAAGATGTCTCCTGTAATCCTTCTGTTTAGTTCGCTCATTATTTGAGTTTGATTATTTGTCGATATACGAACCTCATAGCCAAGATATACATACCTGTCAACCCTCTCAATCTCATTATTCCCAATGTTGATGTTAGAGCTAGGAACAAGATTTGTCATAAATTTTAATTTCTCCTCGTTGATATTTAGCCCGACTCTTGCACACACATCCTTTTAGTCGTTCAGCATTAGTTTAATTTATGCAAGGCTATCCGAAATAAGAACTATATCGTCCGCGTAGCGCAAATTACTTAGGCATTTGCCATCAATGTTTATGCCAACAACATTGAAACAACTGGATTGGACCCAAAAAATCCAATCCAGTTGTTTAAATGCACTGTTCAGGACTGTGATGAACAATTTGGGTTCAACAGTGTATTGCCTTGTTTCAATCACAATGAGTACTTTACTACTTCTACTCTCTTCAGTACTTTCATGCAATTTTACCGTCATTGTAGCATTTTTGTGGATGTTATAAATAAGTTTGGTATATCGATAATCGACTCTGCATTCTTGAAGTGCTTGCAAAACTGCCATCAACTCCATTTAAATTTAAAATTTTAAATACCATCTTTGGTACATACCCCGGGGTATATATCCAGGAAATTTACCCTTAAAAATAAATAACCGGTTATTTAACAACACTGATTGTGCTTAATTAAGCCGAGGTCGCTTGCGGGCGAGGCGTTCCATACAACACAGTATTAACAATAAATAGTTAATAAATAATGTAGCATTTCTTGAGAATGTATGATCCTGCAAAATTATGTCGAGGCGGCTCTCTTAATACAATGGCAACCCCAAATGAGTTAACAAATAATGTAGCTCCTCGGCTAAATGTACGATTGCGTACAACTAAGCCGAGGCCGCTTGCGTCCCACACAACATAATATCAGTTCTAACTGGAAGGCCGCAGGGCGACTCGGTTATATGGATAAGTCCGCTTGCGGCCGAGGCGTCCCACTTAATACAATACCAACCCTAAATCGGTTAACAAATAATGTAGCGCCTCGGCCGCAAATGACCTCGTCTCAATGTATAGCGGAGAATATGTAATTGCAGGATAAAGTGACACTTTAAACTTGTTTCTGAAGAAGGTTGCAACATAGTATCCGAAACGACAAACAATGTTTCAAAAGACGTACGTCTTAACTTGGAAGTTTCTAGTTCTAAGTGTAGTGTTAGTTCTAGTATTAGTTCAAAAAAGAAACAAGAAAATGTAAGTTCAGAGAACTAACCATAACAAAAATTAAGTTTTGTTTATATTACAGAGGTCAAATTGAGTCATTACGGTAGTTCGTGAACGCCAGAGGAGTAACAGGTTTAAAATTACACTCTCGAAGTAACTACTATAGTTTTTCGGCAACAAAACCCACTGATTAGTGACGGTTCGTTTAACGATTCTAGTCCGTAATATTTGCGTGTACTAATTGGGGTTGGTCAACGATCTCATAAAAATCGTCACTGTCGTCAATGATGGATTTTAAAATTGAAAAGAAATAATTTGTGCAGGAAGCTCATTATGCGATCGAGCGAATTATAAAATCAATTCGGAACAATCGATCAAGTGTCGTAACGATTCGAACAATGAAAATTTGAATTCCAACGTAACCTAATGTATGCGCGGAGAGGTGATCGGCCGACCCTGTAAACAACCGTGAAGAAAATATAGGGACACTCGTGTTGTTTCGCAAAAGACCCAGTCGTGCAACAGGTGCAGTCTCGGTCGGCATTTGGGATTCGATCCGCTTATCTAAACGCCCGATATAAATACATAATACACGCGACACAGGTTTAGGTCAGTTCGCTACTCTACTAAAGGAAAATCGCACACGATAACAACCAGGCTCGCAAAATTTACATAATGCTGTGTTCTGCCAGTGGCGTACGTACGTTTCCCCTGTGGTATTTTCGGCGTTCCAATAAAATTATTTCGACGTAATCCGATTATTACCAACGGTAGGAATTTCGTGCACCGGTTTCAAGTGCACGAAAAAAAATTCACGACTAATTTATGACTTTAGGGATCACCCCAAATGAGAATGGTACGCCGCTGGGTTCAGTGGGCGTTTACAGACCAAGACGATGTAGGCCCGCGTACGTAAGGCACATATGCACTCTAAGGAGCGCACGCCGGCTATCCGAATATGTAATGCCCCCTTTGTGCAGTGCACAGGTTGTGTTTTAGGTCTATCGGATTTGCATAACATTCGCGTGAACGAAAGGAGTGCTTGTACTAGAGTGAGGCCTTAGGGAAATACCATGACGATCGTACCAAAGCAGAGCATTCCTTTGTATCGAATTATTTTCAATCCGGATAAAGTTACAAATTATCTTTACAAATATTATGTAATCTTATTAATTTAAAAAATGGGCGCGACTTATAATACACATTATCGATTTATTAGTAAATAAAACCCTATCTAAGATCATTATTTTAATAACATCATTTCAGTAAAACCTGCTTATTACCATCGATAATTTGCAACGGTCTTTTCGCAAACATCCTCCACATATTTTCGCAATATAAGAAGTGACGTGCCGTACGTCCTCGGCCCGAAACGCAATTAACACCGAAAAGGTCAAGAACTGTATCTAATGAAAATGATCTTATAATAACGGCCTTTTGTCTCGATAAAACTACAACGGCACGCCGAACATGGACCCAATTATGAATCCGGACCGCTCCATATAATTGAAGAACGAAAGGTGAGACCGCAATTAGGAGATTAACCGTGGTGTCCGACTTCCGGCCATTTTTCACTTTCCGTCAGAAAAATATGAGAAATGAACACGAATTTGGGTTAACGCGAGGAAATTAATTGTTCAGTTCCAGGTAATTAAACAGCTGTCAATCTTGACTCGGATTGACGGTGAAGGTCGACATGAAAATATGGCTCGACACAATAAAGTTTCTCGTTTTTAATGCTTTTCCATTGTAAATCGAAAAGCAACAAGGGTTTTTCAGGTCGTTACGGACCATTACCTTCGAGTACCCGTAAACCGAGTAGAACAACAATGTTACGGTATGCACGATGATAATCTGCATAATCCTGCATGCATGAAAATCGCGATACTTGTTAGCGGCGGTGGCAATTTTCAGCCTTTATACCCCGAAACCCAACGTGCTTTTGATGTATCAATTATTGTTGGTAGCCCATGGATATTAGAAAGCAGATACTACCATCTCCGATTTACATCTTAAAACATTTTTTTTCACTACTTACGGATTAGTTAGATATTATCAGTTATCCCATGGCACCTGTAAAGAAAGTTAAAATTAATCAACTGCTTCAAATTTATAAACAATTATTTATTTTTTTATGGTTAACGATGCAGAATTTATGACGGGATAATTTCGTCTATAGATATTTTGTGAACACGTGCGGTAATATGGTTTTGGCTTATTAGGTGCAAAATGACGTCAATCTAGTATATCATTTTGAAAATTATCCATTCCTCGTTAATAACCGGTTATTTGCTTTTCATACGACGAACGTCCTGCGTGTATACGTTGTTGTATCTTAGAATCTCATTTCAAAACCCCATAATACATCGATCTATTCTACTCTAAAGAAATTTTTGCTTGTCGTAACGGCTTGTACTCAGAATAGACCCGACAGCGTAAGAACTACCTACTTTCCTGTCGTTTATTTAATCACCCGATATCACGTACCCAATTGTACGGTTTTCCATAACATAAACATACGTTGTGCAAACGTTCTTCCTCGGGCAAATCAATATGCCTTGGCCACCGTGGCTTCAAGCCTTTTTGGTTTCTTAAACCGCACCTTACGCGTAATACTTTCAAGAGATTATAATGTTATGGTGCTTCTGACATCTATAAACTGCCTATTATTGTATATTTTGACAATGACGAATAAAACGCGGAAGAATGAAAAAGATGGGAATACCAAAGATAACAATTAAAAAATAATTACCTTGCTCATTCATATTAAAACGCAATTATCGTTGATGTTATTGAAGTTAGTCCTGTTTTAAAATAAATTTTAGTTAATCGATACCAGAAAAAATCTAATAATGGGAAAAAAGAAAACCAATTATTTACTTTTTTAAAGCGTACCAGATTGTGTTATTTAGTTTAGTGTGCAGAACAAGTTTTTTTATCGTCAAAAAAGAACAGAACTAATCTGTATTGAATTCTCGTTTTGGCATAACTAGATCGTGACTAACTGAATGGAGATTTTAATACAAGATAAAAATATACACTATGTATATTTTGTGGAATTTAAAGCTAGCCTACTTTTTAAATAGCAATTTTTAGATCTCACTTTTTATAAATTACTATCTAAATAATTATAAAGTCGGTACGATTAGAATCGAGAAATTCCCAGGCTATTTTGCGTGTCATCATATAACCACTGTTGTTTGTCTAGCGTTCGTCTAGACTTAATTAGTTGGCGCTAGCTGCACGCATACCTCAAGTAATTACAAAACGAGCAAAAATGTACAACCACGCCAGGGAATGTGAAAAGAATGCGCACTCGTTGTTGACGAGTGTAAAAAATGGCGTAACACAGCGAGGCGCCATCTGCCATTGCATTCGTTGTCTACGATTCCCATATGAGGTTGAATTTTGCGTCACGCTCGCGATTCTATTTCCCCCGGTTCGTGTAAACTCGCTAATATCGAACACTTAACGAAACCTGGATTCCTTGTCCGGCAATTAACGATTTTGCAATATCCGACTGTGCTTGTTAGAAAATTTTAAACTAAAACCAACCCACACGTCCACCTATTAATGATGAAGCGATACCTGAAAATGGTATGGAGGTGACGAATAAGACACCATTAATTTCAACGGATACTTGGCAAGGCGGATGACTGTGTTGTACGTGAAAGCAGAGACGCACCTTGAATAACTCCACTGAGGTTTACTATTCGTTTTGGTAATGCACTCTCTATCAAATGCCTCTGTACATGTAGGATTGAAACTTTAGTATTGGTGCAATCATTGCATACAATCTTGCGTATAACAGCATGGTAAGCTTTATATCCCATCGCGGATACTTTAGAATTCGATGTATAGATATTTCAATTTCAAACATAACTTTTATTGGAAAGAATACTATTCCTTTACTTAAATATACTATAAAATCACACAAAATGCTCACCATGTCTTAATCGAAAAGTGAAATTAATTTGACGATGGTAAAAGTTGAAATTAAAAACATTACATCTCAAGAAGGAATTGAGATATGATCATGAATTAAAGTAAATTTAATGAAGATTTAACGTGCCATAAATCATTTCTTATTTTCCATAAAATTCGTTGTTATAATTTAAAATTAATAGGAATTTAGTGTTAAAATGTTTGTTAATAAAAACAAAAATTATAGCTTCCTTTGGATATACTTACATTATATTTTTTGATCACATTCATGTAAAAGAACATTTTAAAACACTCGTAACAGCAAAGTTGTTAAATTTTAAATTAAACTTAAAAGTTAAAATCAAAACGGCAAAGACACCTTGACTACATGGAAAAGTGAAAACCGCAAAACACATTCTAAAAAGCATCTACGCAACCACCCGAAAAAAAAAATTCGTAACTTTCAAACTAATAAAATCTTAATTTGATATTTGAAAAGTGAAATATCGTAAACTTAAAAATATGGAGAAAACTTAAAATGTTTTCTTGATCTGTTTTGTCCAGTTGTCTCAATGCAAGATATTATCGAGATGTATTACCCATGTTAATGAATTGTGATGAGAACGATATATCTATTAATATTAATCATATTGAATGAATTTGAGAGATTAAATGGTAAACAGTTGCCATTAATAATGAATATCAATGGTCAATGAGTCGATAAACCCTCAAGTTTCATGCGGGAACACATAATTTATAACTCGCGGACGGTCGTATATGAATCTCATTTCTCGGAAATTAATTTCGCATATAATACACTATTCGTCATCGAACCAAGCGGGACAAGTAGCTATGAGGAAATTTCTTCAAATGCTCATAAAACAACGCGAATGTAAACGTCGGCGTAATTTATACGGCGATCTTCCTTAGAAAGTAGACAAAGTGGCTTCTGTTTCAGACTTTAAGCTTCTTTTTTACCTTGCATAAGCTCGTATCACGTATAATAACTTATACTCATCCGGCGGAGATTCAACGTTCATATTAGCATGGACTTCATCATAAATCACGATCGGCCTTGACTCGGTGGCGTTAGTCATCTGTTCGTGTTGAGATTTTCTTTTCTTTTTGCAATAACACTTACTTAGTTGAACACTGTTTACACCGGAAATGTGTGCGCCGACGAACACTAACAAGAATGAAATGGAAAATTATTTAACTTAGTTGTCAAGGACAGTTCTATTGTCTAACCTGTTTCTGGTATAACCTTATAGGTAGTTAAGGTACAATTATGAAAATATTCCAACGCTACCGGCAACACCTATATAGCGTGCATAACCCGGTATCTACATGTAGATATACATATAAAGCTCCAATCGTCTCCTGGTTTACAGTTAACCGCGTGCGAATTTTTTTCTTGACCAGTTTATTTTAATTAGCAGGTATACCAACCGAGATATCTGGGTGTGCGCCGTATTATACATACAGAATTTGAAGTATTTAATTATGGGCGAAGTGCCGCTGTAAATAACCTCTTATTTACATGACGGCGAACGCATGATTTATGCCAGCAGCAATGCGCATCGGATTTATTCGCGATAATTACGCTTCTCTTATATAAATAAAATAACGGTCATCTCAGATAACACAGATTATTTAAACGGTACGATTCTTAATGGACGCGATGTAAATTGTATATTTATGCAGATCAACACCAGAAAAATAAAATTCATCTCGGGATTAGCCTTGATATTGGATTAATTTCATTTTTAGGAGTACGAAATCAAATGCAAATGGTTAATATAAATTTCACACTTCGACTTGCGAATAAACCTTGCTTTTTTAATGATAATTTAAGTACGGTTTTAAATCGTCTTGTAATTGGATGCTATTTTATTTTAAAGGTAGGTGCTTAAACGTTAGAGTTTTCATTAGATTTCTAGTTATATATAGATGTAATTTATTTAATATATATTGCATATTAACCCGACGTTTTAAATATAATAACTAAGAACAGAAATTTAAGTCATGAAATGTGAAACGGTCAATTTCACAATAACAGTTTCGTTTTGATTTATATACACGTAAAGATTTAATTTAATTATGATTTTTATGAGTACAATACAAATGCATTGCGGATTATTATTAGACCGTGAACGATTAATTCAGATTTTACAAGTTTACATAAATTTCTCATTTTTCGTAGTTTTAACAAAATAGAAATTATAAATTATTTATTTATTATGAAAATTGTATTATTTTTCTTTTTGGTTCTTGCTTTTTTCTTTTATAGTTGCAACTCAACACGACATCTAAGATATTAAGCCACTCTTCAGGTATTGCAAACAATGTCTTTTTGAGCTTGCTCCTTGGCAACATTGTGAATACCGATTAAAAAAAAGATTTTCTCCAAAACGGTTAGGTTTTAAGAAATGAAATGTTTTGAGATTACGTTTTACCAATTTTGAAATTTCCACGGTAAACAGTGCATTTTATAAAAAAAATTTAAAATCACCTATTTAAGCTAACAAAAAAAGATTGTTTTCTCTAAAACTTACCTTAACTTACCTTATATTTCTAGATTTTTTTTATAAGTTCTATAATTTAACTTCTCATTAATAAATAATCGATAACAATATTGACACCCTAATTAAAAATTATTTCCAAATTATAATCATCCCAGTCAACTTGTTGTTGAGAATATAATTAATCATCGCGGTATTACATATTAGTCAAGATAAAAACCGGTTGGCGTACAAATTTAAAGCGATGAGGCTTCAATGAGTCGTTAATGAGGGTGTCACGTAAACATTAATAAGTTATTATCCGTGAAACATTGGTTGAGTTCATAAATACTTGTTCGAATTGGCTAGTTATGACATGTTTTATTAAGTTTCTAATTTCTAACCTGACAGATTCGTTCATGAAGCCGTCAACGAAATCAGGAATGAGGAAAAGATTTAGTTAACGTCGACATTAATTGGTATGGAGAAGATCATTTTTATCCCACGTACTCATCTAATCATAGTTTATATTAAACACATTTCAAGGTTGTTTTAGTTTTCATTTAGATAATAAATAAATTTGCATCTATATTGATGTTTTATTTTAAATGTTCGCTTCTTAATTTAAATTCAACAAGATACTTTCTA